GGCTCCTCGAGTAGCTAGCTGTAAATGTGACTCAAGCATTTTTTTTTTTTAGGATGTAAAACTGCTTTTGAAAATGCCTTGTTAACTACCCGTGACAGCCGCCCACAGCCCTGCCTGGTGGTATGGGTGGGTGTTTGAAAGAAAGCCATGCCCTGGGACCTCCTCCTGTGTGTGGCTTTGACCCGGGATGGGGTCCTCTCGTTGGGGTTTGGTGCTCGGTGGCCAGCTGTTTTCCCTCCTGGATCCTCATACACACCCATTGCTTGTTCCAACGCCTGCAGTAAAGCTCGTGGGAGTGCCATGACTGTAGAACCCTCAGCTGCTTTCTCTACTCTGAATGGACCCCTTTCATCAGAAAATGCTGGGACAAGGGCCTTTTAAAGTCAAAATATCAGAAAAAGACAAGGGCCTCGAGAGCCACTTGCTCTTTGGGTGGGACCATCATCCGAGGAGGGACTCCACTGCTGCCCTGGAAAGCCCCGCTACGTCCACTGTGCCTCGTGGACGGCTGGGTCTCTTCAGGCACCGTCTGCCTCAGCAGGATTACTACGGATGTGAATGCCGCTGCCATGGAACTTTTTTATCTTTCTGACTTCTGTGTCTTCCTTCGGCCAACCCCATACCTCTGCCGCTCAGAGGTGTCCAGCCCACATTAGTACGTAAGCCACGGATGGCACCCTGTCTGTGAGAGCCGGGGCTTGGGGATTGAAGACTGTGTTTGTCTCCCCTGCACAGTCTTCCCGAGGGTAGCAGGCAGTGTCAGAACTGTGCTGAGGAGATAAAAGCCTGAAGCAAGGCTGGGGGGAGCAGTTGAGACTTCCTAGGGTAGTGGAGGAGGGTGCTGCCTCCGTCTGGCTCGGAATTTCTGTAACTCTTAGGACTCCAAAATCTCTGGGATGGATGGCTGGTGGGTTGTCATGCATCCTTGCCCTGGGTACCCAGAGAAAGGTGTGTGCTGTTACTGACATGGGTGTCTGAGAGGGTTCTGTTGGGGGGCACTGGGGTCTCTGGTCACAGGGACATAGGGTCTTGAGCCTCTTGGTATCAGGAGCTCAGCATAGGAAAGCCAGGTATGGACTGTCCATTTCTGGCAGGGTTCTTCAGCCACCTGTGGACACCAGAGGCTGCGTCAGCAGTGGCCCAGGACACAGCCTAGAAGCCAGGCCATGAAGGAGCTTCATCTTGTCTGTGGTCTCCCATCCTCCCCACAGCATCCTGGACTCAGCCTGAGGGTCATCTCGGCCGCCAGTGTTCTGCTGTTTCCTGTATATTTCCAGGACACAGGGGACCTTGCAGCCCCCAGAGCAGTGGGGCTCCCTGCAGCATTCAGGGTGGCTTTTGACAGTAACTGAGGTGGTTCCAGGACCCCAGTGGACCCCATGGGTGGAGGGGAAGGCCCCTTCTTATCAGACAGAGGAACAACTGACTGCTGAGCAGGTCACAGGGTGAGCGGAGCCTGCTCTTTGTCATTGTTCCCTTTTTTTCCCAAAGGAAATACAAGGGAAACCAAGGGGAATTTTTGCTCTTGGTTTCCAAGGCAAAGGTCACTGTTCATGGCTGGCTGTTTCCAGCATGCTCTGGTTTCTGGTCAGTCTGAGGTTTTGTTTCTTGTTTTTTTTTTTTTTCAAATTAGTGAACAAAAGGAGTTGATGTTGCCTTGAAAATTAACTCTGCAGCTGCTTTGATCAACTGATGGTTGTTTTAAATTTCCTGGGCTTGGCTCTTGAGATTTGGGTGGGTATAGTGGATCAGAATAGCTCCTGAAAGCTTAGTCGTAAAAATGAGTAGGAAAGGGTTGGGGAGGGGATTCTACAGCCGGATAGGAGGAGACAGCACGCCTCTCACCTGCAGGGCATCTCCTAAGAGCGAGCACACCTCTCTTCCTGGGGAGGGAGTGAGACCGCAGAGATCCCTGTCTGTTTATAATCCAGGCTTCTCCAGTGCAGGTGTGTGGCAGCCTTGGGTGGGAAGGTGCAGCGGAGGGTGAGGATATGAAGATGATCCTCCTGGGTGAGTCTGTGGCACGGGGCGTTGCGGCATGGGGCGTTGCACGGCCCGTTGGCCCGTTGTCAGCGTTCAAAGGTTGGTGTTTGAGATGGCTGGCCTTATTAGTTCATTCATAGTTGAACACTCTTTTTAACATGAGTCTTTTTTTTCAACTTATGACTGGCTTCTTTTTATTTTATATGCATTGGTGTTTTGCCTGCGTGTATGTCTGTTGGAAGGGTGTCAGATCCCCTAGAACTGCAGTTAGAGGCAGTTGTGACCTGCTCTGTGGGTGCTGGGAATTGAAGCTGGGTCCTCTGGAATCACAGCCAGTGCTCTTAACCTCTGAGCCATCTCTCCAGCCACTTACTATGAGAACTCAGTGAGGAAAAGTTCCGATTTTATTATGACTCCACTGTCACAGAAGCCAAGTTATCTGAGAAGTCGCTGTCTGCATACATGCCCCAATGATGTTTTCTTAGCACTTAGAATGGCATGCTAGAGTTAGCTTGCTTTGAGTCTTGATAGCCAGACTGGCTTGAATTCATAGTCCTGCCTTTTGAGGACTGAAATGGAGACGGTGTAACCACCCCCAATTTCATCCACAGGGTTCTTTAATTCTAGATGATAATGTTTAGCCACTAACACTGGGTATCAGAGATGAGCTTGCCTTTTGTAGATAATATCTTCCATTTCCCCAGGAATTCTTAAATTCAAGTTTTTGTTTTTGTTTGTTGGTTGTTTTTTTTGTTTTTTTGTTTTTTGCTTTGCTTTGTTTTTTGAGACAGGGCCTCTCTGTGTAGCCTTGGCTGTCCTGGAACTCATTTGGCAGACCAGGCTGACCTCAAACTCACAGAGATCCTCTTGCCTCTGCCTGTGCTGGGACTAAAGGTGCGTGTCACCACCACCTACCTGAAGACTTTTTTTTTACTGTGTGTGTGTGTGTGTGTGTGTGTGTGTGTGTGTGTGTGTGTGTGTGGTCTTTTGTCTGCGTTAGTGATTGCACCATGTGTATGCTGTGCCCTCAGAGACCAGAAGAGGATGTGGGCTCCTCTGGAACTGGAGTTACAGGTGGTTGATAACTGCCATATGGGTGCTGGGAACTGAACCTGGGTCCCCTGGAAGAGCAGCCAGGGCTCTTAACCACTGAGCCATCTCTCCAGCCCCTGAGGGAAGAAAATTGTTAGTCAGATTATAAGTGAAAAATTGCAAGAATGTGTTTTGTTGATGTTTGGCTTTTGTGGTTTGTTGTGGTTTTGTTCCTTCTCTGCCCTTGTGCATCCTAGCCTTATTACATGGAGCATGGATGGGGGTGGGGGGGTGCGTGTGTGTGTGTGTGTGCGCGCGCGTGTGTGTGAGTGCGTGTGTGTGTGAGTGTGTGTGAGTGTGTGTGAGTGTGTGTGTGAGTGTGAGAGAGAGACAGAGGTGGGTGTGAGGGTGCATGTGTGTGTGTGTGAGAGAGAGAGAGACAGGTGGGTGTGAGGGTGCATGTGTGTGTGTGTGTGAGTGTGTGTGTGTGAGTGTGTGTGTGAGTGTGAGAGAGAGACAGAGGTGGGTGTGAGGGTGCATGTGTGTGTGTGTGTGAGAGAGACAGAGGTGGGTGTGAGGGTGCATGTGTGTGTGTGTGAGAGAGAGAGAGAGAGAGACAGAGGTGGGTGTGAGGGTGCATGTGTGTGTGTGTGCGTGTGTGTGAGTGTGTGTGTGTGTGAGAGACAGAGGTGGGTGTGAGGGTGCATGTGTGTGTGTGTGTGTGAGAGAGAGAGAGACAGAGGTGGGTGTGAGGGTGCATGTGTGTGTGTGTGTGCGTGTGTGTGTGTGTGTGAGAGAGAGAGACAGAGGTGGGTGTGAGGGTGCATGTGTGTGTGTGTGAGAGAGAGAGACAGGTGGGTGTGAGGGGTGCATGTGTGTGAGAGAGAGAGACAGAGGTGGGTGTGAGGGTGCATGTGTGTGAGAGAGAGAGACAGAGGTGGGTGTGAGGGTGCATGTGTGTGTGTGTGTGTGTGAGACAGAGGTGGGTGTGTGAGGGGTGCATGTGTATGTGTGTGTGTGTGTGTGAGAGAGACAGAGGTGGGTGTGAGGGTGCATGTGTGTGTGTGTGAGAGAGAGACAGAGGTGGGTGTGAGGGTGCATGTGTGTGTGTGTGTGTGTGTGTGAAAGACAGAGGTGGGTGTGTGAGGGGTGCATGTGTGTGTGTGTGAGAGAGACAGAGGTGGGTGTGGGGGGTGCATGTGTGTGTGTGAGAGAGAGGTGGGTGTGTGGGGTGCATGTGTGTGTGTGTATGAGAGAGACAGAGGTGGGGGTGTGGGGGGTGTCAGTAGGGATTAATCCTGGTGTCTTTTGTATGTTAGTCAAATGTGTGTGTGTGTGAGAGACAGAGGTGGGTGTGTAGGGGGTGCATGTGTGTGTGTGTGTGTGTGTGAGAGACAGAGGTGGGTGTGTAGGGGGTGCGTGTGTGTGTGTGTGTGTGTGTGAGAGAGAGAGAGACAGAGGTAGGTGTGTAGGGGGTGCATGTGTGTGTGTGTGTGTGAGAGAGACAGAGGTGGGGGTGTGGGGGGTGTCAGTAGGGATTAATCCTGGTGTCTTGTATGTTAGTCAAATGCTCTATCACGCAGTGTTCCTAAGGACACAGACAAGCTGGCAGACATGGTCTGTGTCTTCCCTGGAGGGACTGCACCAGGAAGTGGTTACTGGGCTGAAAGTTGTGGGGAGGCAGCGTATGAGAGCGGGAGTGTTAGAAGCAAAGACCAACTGTGCAGGTTCAGAGTGAGCGGTCACCATCTGCTGCGATGGTGTCTCTGTGTCACACCAAGAGCCTTGCCGCTTTCTGTAGGAAGGGTCTGTTGGCCTGGGGCAGCGCACCTGAAACCACATTTGCTCCTGAGAACTGCGGCAAGAGCCTCGCTGTTTCTGCATGTCGTAGGCCGTTTGTCGGCCCTCAGTGTTCCCTCTGCAGCGTGTCTTGCCTGTTTCTCTGAGAAATCACTCTAACCCAGCTCTGGTTTTGTTCTTCCCAGCTTGAGCGAGAGCTTTTTCATGGTGAAAGGAGCAGCCCTCTTCCTACAGCAGGGAAACAGCCCTCAGGGCCAGCGCGGCCTTCAGCACCCTCATAAGCATGCAGGTACGGAAGTGTTGATGCTCTTAAGTTGGGACCGTTTCTGTGCCTCAGGAGAACCTTCCACAGTTGGAGGGAAGTCGCTTGCTGGGTCTCACGGCCAGGGAAGCAGTGTCTCATGTGTTTGTAGTGACCAGCACAGCAAAGATTCCCTGTGTGTTTTCCATCAGTTAATACCTCAGTTTAAGCCGGGCATTGGTGGCACATGCCTCTAATCCCAGCACTCGGGAGGCAGAGGCAGGTAGATCTCTGTGAGTTTGAGGCCAGCCTGGTCTACAAGAGCTAGTTCCAGGACAGCCTCCAAAGCCACAGAGAAACCCTGTCTCGAAAAACCAAAAAAAACAAAAAAACAAAAAAAAACCTCAGTTTATACAGTGCGACCTGACCAGATGGGCCAGCCTGCATCACAGCTATAAACTGTCCCTTTGAAAATGGCCTCCGAGGTTCTTTTTTTTTTTTTTTTTTTTTTTTTTTTTTTTTGGGTTTTATGAGACAGGGTTTCTCTGTATTGTTTTGGAGGCTATCGGTCCAGCCTGGCCTCGAACTCACAGAGATCCGCCTGCCTCTGCCTCCCGAGTGCTGGGATTAAAGGCGTGCACAACCACCGCCCGGAGCCTCCGAGGTTCTTTATATCTCACCTGAGCATGAAGGCACCCCTTTGGCTGTACCCTGAGCGGTTATGTGACAGGATGTCTTTATCCTATAATGGCTACCTTTTGGAAAGGACAGAAGTAATAGAGTTTGGGTCAAATTGAATAATAATGTAGGCCCAAAAACAGACTAGTAAAAATGCCTGTCAAGTACGAAGGCTGGATTTCTTAGGCTCTAGAAATGAAGCCAAATTGAAGATGGAATTCAAGAGGCATCTGTGTACAAGGGGCTTTGCAACAGGTCATGGCCCTGGGGTCCTTCTGAGGGAGTCTGCTGGGGTCTGAATGTCCACATGGTAGGGAGGCCCCTCTGCCTTTTAGAAGAGCTGGGAGATGGCACAGCTGATAAAGCCCTTGCTTCAAGAGTAGGACCTGAGTTCAGATCCCAAGATCCCATGTAGGAAGGGCCAGGCGTGATGGTACACATTTGTAATCTGGTGGTGGAGACAGGTGGACCCTGAGACCTCCCTGGCCAGCTAACATAGCTGATGATGCTGCAGGCCTCTGAGAGGTCCTGTCACATACAAAAGGTGAAAACTCCTGGTGAGCCAAGATTGGCCCCTGGCCTCCACAGACACATACACACCTGTAGTGGGCATCGTGTGCCAGCTTTTCCAGTAGGTGGCACATACGAGCTGTTGTGATCGTCACCGCGGTGATGTGCAGTGTGATAAAGCTACAAGTAGCCATCACTTCTGCGTCTAGTGGTGTCTGTAGCAAATACAGCAACTGGAAGCTTAGGCTTTGTTTTGAGTGTGAAACTTGTCCCTACCGTGAGTGAGCTGGGGCAGCAAGTACGAAGCCACTTTGCATCAGACCCTGGAAAGCTCATCTGTGTGTCCCTTGAATGAACACAGTCAGGAAGACAGTCACTGGCTCGTTGGGTTTTCTTTCCTTGAAGCCTGGGACCAGTGATGAGCCTGGGAAGGCAGAGAAGCCACTAGCTGGCCTGGGGTGGCCAGAAAATGGCTTTGCTCTGTTCCCTTTGCCTATTGCCTCCCTCACCAGCGTGGAGAGTAATCAGAGGGTTAATTTTATGGGGTTGGGTCAGGTTCAGCCAGCCAGTCAGTGTAGGGTCTTGCACTCCAGACTTCCGCTCTCTGATCTGTATGTGGATGTGAGGCTGGGATGGATACCAGCAGTTTATTTATGCGCCAAATGCCTTTCTCATTTGGACATTTATCAGACATGGGGGTGGGGTTACTTTCATCTCTGACTTGGGGTGGTTGGTGGGAGGACCCAGGCAAACAAAGAACCAGCCCTTGGTGGCTGTGCATCTCTGTGGCATTGGAGCCCTGGTGGGTTCTTAAGAGAAATCAGAGCAGGGAACTCCCAGTGTGAGCTGGCGTCTCCAGAGCAGTCCTGGCAGGAGGGAGGCTGTGTTCACACTTGTCAGGTCCCGTTACGGGAAAGATCAGATAGGAGGCACTGTGGCCTTTTCTGTCTGCATTTTGCCAATCTTATTTATTGTGGGAAAAACACTTAGCTGTGCCCTCCCACCTAGAAAGGCAGGTTCCTAAAAGCCTTGTTTCCTCTAAGAGAGAGGAAGTGTCGTTTAGACGTCACACGTCCATGCCTTAAAAGGGCAACGTGCTTTTGTAGCAGGCACAGTGACTGTGGTTTTCTGGGGCATTCGCTTATGTAAGCAGCGTTGTCCTTCAGGGTTCCCAGTGTGGAGAGAATGTTTCCCAGTGTTGCTGCTTCACTCTGGGCATGGAACCCAGGGCTGTACACATGCTAGGCAAGTGCTACACCATGGAGCTATATATACCCTCAGCTCCATATAGTGTCATTAAAATAAAACTAAAAACATCATTGGGTTTCTTCAGAGCTCTGCACACAATTGGAAAGGGTGACTCTACTGAGTTACTTCTCACAGATGGACCTTTCCCCAGAGGGCACAAGGGCCTCAGGGCGTGGAAAGGCAGAACAGGGATCCTACATCTACTTCAGCAACACTGCACCCTGTCACAGCAGCAACACTCTGGAACACCCTGCCATCCCCCCCCAGTGAGCTTGCCACCTGGCCCTGTGCACTCTCCAGACCCCAACCAAGGGGGACTTCTCAGAGAAGTTCCCATCCCACCCTAAGACGGTTGTGAGTTTGAAGCCAGACTGGATTAAGTAGACTCGGTATCCAAAAAAGGGAACAGAGTGCGTCTGGAGAGAGAGCTCAGTGGTTAAGGGCGAGTGTTGCTTTTGCAGAGGACCCAAGTTCAGTTTTCAGCATTCTTGTTGGGCAGCCCACAACCACCTGTAACTCTAGTTCCAGAGGATCTGACATCTCTTCTGGACTCTGCCGGCAACCTCATGTAAACATACACATACCCCCACCACACACGTACACATGTTTATGCAGGCAAAACACCAATGCACATAAAATTATAAAAAATAAAATAAAAACTGCTTTCTCTGGTTGGAAATGACTATCTTTTCACTTAGCAATAAAGAAAAAAAGAACACATTAATAGTTTCTTTTTTATGAAAGGAGAGCCTGGCGGTGGTGGGACACACCTTAAATCCCAGCACTTGGGAGGCAGAGGCAGGAGGATCTCTGTGAGTTCAAGACCAGCCTGGTCTACAGGCTCCAAAGCTACAGAGAAACCCTCTCTCGAAAAAAAAAGAAAAAAAAGAAGAAGAGGGAAAAGAAAGAAAGGAGACTGATAGATTTCTTTTTCCTCACATAATTTCTCTGGATACCCAGCATGCAACTGTTGTCTGTGGCCAGATAGACTCCCCACCCCCATCCACCTGATACAGAAGTAACATCTGGCCTGTGTAGAAAATGTTTGAAGAGGACAGATGACACTCTGTCTTTTTCCTTATAGTTCAGCCTTTAGCAGATGCCTCCGCAGCCATGACCAGGGAGTGTTTGCTTGGATGTGATGACATCCTCCTGTGGGCCCATGTGTGTTTTCCAAATTCTTTGTCGAAAATACTGCTGACCACTGTGTTACCCCTGCCCTTGGGATCGACCTTCCCCTTAAATCTCTCCTTGTTGGCTCCACAGGGGACCTGCCCCAGCACCTCCAAGTGATGATCAACCTTCTACGCTGTGAAGACAGAATCAAGCTGGTGAGAGCCGAGGGTTGTCTTCAGATGTAGCTGGAGTCCTCCTCTGTCATGATCCCTCCTCTCACGCTGCTGACCAAAGCCAGGGCGCTGGAGTGCCCCTCAGTGGTAGAGCTGTCATTGGGCTATATGATGCCCTGGGTTCTATGCCTGGCACCCCAAAGCGGCCAGCAGAGATGGCAGGTCTTTGTGGCACCTGTGCTAAACGTACATTTCACTTGTGTCCCCACTGCACGCAGTTGGCTCTCCCTAGTGCCAGGCACACACTCTGGTCCTACTCACAAGCACTTAGTTTTCATTCTTCGCTGATTTGTGGGTGGGTGGGTCAAGAACTAAAAGCCTTTGGTCTTGGTTTGGTGGACAGAAGAAGAGAGCAAACCATCGAGGTGACCCCCTTGTCCACAGGCTGTACGCCTAGAGAGCGTCTGGACCGACCGTGTCCGCTACATGGTTGTGGTGTACACCAGCGGGCGCCAGGACACCGAGGAGAACATTTTGCTGGGAGTTGACTTTTCCAGTAAGGAGAGGTGAGTCTCGGGGTGGCATTTCCCATCAGAGCAGGAGATGGGCCACTGTTGGCAAAAGGCTTTCCTCGAGTCCTGGGGTGAGTCCATCTGGAAGATGGGGGGCCACCAAGGCTCTGAGATTAGGGCGTGCTCTTCCAGCTCTCACTCCCCTGCCTCTGTGCGCCCCCTGGAGAATGCACGCTGCTCAGAGTGGCAGAAGGGGGCATGTGACTGGCCTCTGTTACTCTGCCTGGGTAGTTAGAGAAAGGTGTTTATTTGGCTTGCTGTGTCCGAGGCTGCAAGTCTAATGGGAGGCCTCTCTTTGGCCGTGAGGGTGACATTACAGTAGTGGGGGCACATGCAGGAGGGATCCCATGGCGAGACAGGAAGCCAGCTGCAGCGGGAGCTAGGCTAAGCCAGCTCTAATTCCTTCTGAGGGTGAAACCCGGCGCCATCTCCCTCCAGGTCTCAGTCCTAAGTGTACCACTCCCTCGGTGCTGCAGATTTGGGGACCCAGTTTCTATAAAGATTTGGGGGAGCCCTCAAACTTGTAAAGGCATCCCACACAGGGATGCTTCCTGAGGGTGTGACAGCAACAGTGAGCATCAAAGGATAAGCTGGCGACAGCCAGAAGGATGCCTCCCAGACAGACGGCTCGTGCAGGGAGATGTGTTGGGAGGCCTTGTGTGAAGTGCCGGTCCAATGGTGATCGTCTGTAGAACGGCGTTGTGGTTTTTTTTATTTTTTTAATTTATTTATTTTTCAGTTTAAATTTAGATAAGAAACAAGGTTGCTTCACAAGTCAGTACCAGGTCCCTCTCCCTTTCCCTCCCCTCCTCCCGTGCCCTCCCCCCAAGCCCCCATTATCCCCTCATTTCCGCAGGGAGGGTGAGGCTCTCCATGGGGGTGTCCATAGTCTGTCATTTCATATAGGGCAGGGCCTAGACCCTCCCCCAAGAGTTCAGGGTGAGAGTGCACCTCACATTGTTGAATGGGACTCCAAAGTCCGTGTGTATACTTGGGATGGGTACTGATCTGCTGCCCAAGGCTCAATAGATTCCCTAGGCCTCCTCACTGACACCCACATTCAGGGGGTCTTGATCAGTCCCATGCTGGATTCCCAGGCTGATGCCTGGGATTTGGCATTGTGTTTTTGACATGTCCTTGTGCAAAATCTCTAAGGCTTGCAGTTCCCCAGGACTGGAGGCCACGTACATTCCATCGTGACCCTAGCATGGCATGAAATGACGGGTACATGTGGGAGGTCGTTGCAAGCCCTAGATCTTCACCCATGACCCTACTCGTTGATAAGTGGATGGGGTTTTGTCCTACCCTGTGTAGGAGGGAACAGGCTAGGCCTCAGGTCACCCGAGATGCCACAGCACAGACTGTGCTTAGCACAGAAGGATCGTTTCACCACCAGGAAGGTGAGCGGGTTAGCAATGATACTGAGCCAGGCTTCTGTGAGAGCATAAGCAGGTGACTGGTGCCAAGATGGGCTTTAAGGTCCTGTAGGCAGCATGGCGAGGTCGGGTGTGCGGGCAGCAGGTGGACCTGAATCGTGCTTCCGGCAGAGTCAGTCGCAAGAAGAAAGTCCCAGAGGTCACATGACCGCAGTTGGGTCTTCTTGTGACTAAGCCGCTGTGTCATAGGCTGGTGACCAAGACTGTTCTGCTTGTTGCGTGTGAATGAAAACAAAGGGAGGGATGAGTTCACTTTGTGACTCTTCTTCCCGTGCCTCCTGGCATCGTGAGAAAGTTTGCTGTGGCACAAGGAAGGGAGGAACTCTGGGGGGGCGCATGTGTGTGTGTGTGTGCACCTGTGTATGTGATTGTGTGTGTATCTGTGTGTGACTGCGTCTGTGTGTAAAACTCACCATCCCCCTGCTTCAGCTTTTCAGGATAGGGCATTAGCGTTTGGAAGTGTCCAAGTTACGGTTTCTCAGATGATGGCCCAGCCCTGTAGGAATCTTCCAGGACAGAAATTTTTCTCACCACATGGAGATCATTCTGGTAACCTATTCCCGTCCTGAACAGGGGCCTGTCTCCTGTAGCCTGTACCCCTATGTAGTAGTAGTTTCCCATCAGACTGCCAGCTTGCCAATAATGACTTTGAGACTTATTATTAATTATGAAAGCTCAGCTTAGCTTAGACTTGACCCACTAGCTCTTAGCTCTTATAACTTATAAGTTAACCTGTTTTTATTAATCTATGTTCTGTCACGTCCTGCCCATCCTGCTCTGTGTCTCTTCCCATCTCTGGGGTGCCTAGATTCCTCTCTCTCTCTCTCTCTCTCTCTCTCTCTCTCTCTCTCTCTCTCTCTCTCTCTCTCTCTCTCTCTCTCTCTTCCTCCCTCCTTCTGCCCAGAAGTCCCACCTATACTTACTGTCTAGCTATTGGCTGTTCAGGTTTTTTGGGGGGGGGGGATTTGGTTTTTTGAGACAGGGTTTCTCTGTGTATAGCCTGTAGACCAGGCTGGCCTCGAACTCACAGAGAATCACCTGCCTCTGCCTCCCAAGTGCTGGGATTAAAGGCGTGCGCCACCACCACCCAGTTGTCTACTGGACTGTGAGCACTGTGAGGGGTTTCGACCCCCAAACACTGTATCATCCCAAAGCCCTTCCTTATAATGAATGCTGACCTTGTGGTAGCTGCATCATGTAAGCCACTTCCAGTCAGCCATCAGCTTCTCTGTAGAGTTTGGCATCTCTCAGGGTCATGTGGAGAATGGAGGGGTGGGAAGGGACAGCTAGAATCCCGGTGCCATCTGCTGGCCCTTCCGAGCAGTTCTCTTTCGTGAAGCCCTGGCTACCACTGCTCTGTTCTGGTTGCTGTGGCGCAGGAGCAAAGTCCAAGAATGGCATCTCGTGACCTGAGGAATCAGCGCCGTACAGCACTGTGTCTGTCTCTCCCAATATTTGCAGTTCTCATGTGCATTTTATGTGCGTTTACCCATTCGGGGACAAGTCTGTGCACTTGTTAGTCCTTCTCACGTGCTGGGGTGCCGCTGTGTCACAAGAGACGTGGCCTGTGCGGTTGTGGTCCAAGACGTGCTCACGTGCAACCCGCTTCCTGCCTCCAGCTGCCGTCTGTGGGCTCCTGTCCCCATTCCCACCCATTCTGATGTGTCCTGCCTTTCCTTTGTTCTAGCCTTGGTTCTCACGGGTCCCTCGCTCCCTGTGGTCATCTTGCCTCTGCTGGGTGTCCAGAGTCTCCCTATCTAGGCCCTGAGCTATAGATACAGCCTGGCTGCAGGGTCAACCCCGGGGCAGTTGTAGGTCTCTACAGATCTGGAGAAATGGCTCAGAGGTTAAGAGCACTGGTTGCTCTCCCAGAGGTCCTGAGTTCAATTCCCAGCCCCCACATGGCTGCTCATAACTGCCTTATGACTGTAGTCCCTCGAGATCTGATGCCCTCTACTGGTGTGCAGACAAAACACCTGTTCATAGGATGATAAGTAAATGCTTAAAATAAATTTTAAGAAAAGTAGAAAGGGGTCAAGAGACTGGTAAGAAACTGAAGCCTTTTCTGCAGTGGGGACAGAGCCCCACCTGCTTCCTCCTTCAGGGCCAGTTGTCACTTGTGAAGATGCAGTTTCCATAACTCAGTCCCTGCCCCACTTCCTGTGTGTGTGTGTCACCCGAGAGCACCTTCGCTGTCCAACTTCACTATGAGTTGCATGAGAGTGCCAGAGTCATGGTAGTGACAACCGTGGAGATGTTCTTGAATTCATGGAATTGTTGCCATTGTGGTCACGGTCACGTAGTGCGCTGGGCCCTAGTCCTCCAGGGATATCTGCCCATTGGTGTGCCAGTCACCCTCATCTTCCACACTGCTGTGTTTAGAGGAGGCTAGTTGATAGAATGGTCTCATATGGACAGTTTTAGCCTTTGCTTCCCCTAGGAGGTTCTGAACCTTCCAACAAATCCCAGGGCACATGCCCAAGCCATCTGTGTCATTCTGGGGCATCTGGAGGATGCCTTCTTGGCCTGGACACTGCACAGTATTCTTCAGAGCCCTATGGGGCTCGGCACACATCTCATTTTGCAGCCCTCCAACGGTGATAGAGGGAGCGATTTGCAGGTGGGTAGGACTGCAAGAGGGAAAAAATGGGTATTCACCAACCCAGATGCTTAGTCCAGTTTAACCCGGAAGCCTTAAGACTTCGTCCCCACAGATACCGAAAAGCAGGATGGCGCAAGGGGTGGGAATCGGCGCCCTGAATACCGGAGCTCCTGTCACCCAGGCACAGGAGGGAGTAACATTCTACCCCCCATCCCACCCCCTACCCTCCCTCGCCACCACCCCTGCTCCCAGAGCCCTAAGTCATGTAGAAATAGACACTTGGAATTCCTGAGGGCCATGGGGCTGCCCTGGCACAGTTACAGCTGCTTCTCGAAAGCCAGCTCTCTAAATACCTGAAGGGTTTGCATCGCAATCTGAGGAGCCCCTCTGATAAACCGTCTCCGCCTATCAGTGGCGCCAGTCTCTGAAGTCGGTGAGGATCATTTCACTGCTAGGATGGGCAAAACAGAACCGGATTGAACTAGTTTGTAAAGTGGCAGCAACACAAAAGGCAGACACATAGAAGCCTGAGTATGAGTGGAGGTATGGGGACCCTCCCATCTCCTGTTACCTAGGACAGAAGGCTGGGAGGGGCTGTCACTGCTTGCCTGTGCACCCCAGTTGGGTATGACATTCTGCCCCACCGCAGCAGGTGGCCTGTGATCAGTGCTTGCCCCAGGACGCCAAGGGCCTCTGTAGTTTTGGAGTTATAGCTACACTTCAACCGTTCAGATTCTTTATCACTCCCACTAACGGGGACACTCTAGGCCTGTGCCTTCTAGAATGCAGCAGTGAGTGACACAGCCTGGGAGCCCCTCCTCCCTACAGACCCTGCAATTGGTGCCAGACCAGGTGGTCATAGCCTGGAGCTGCTAGGCAGAGTTTGAGGGAAGATGGATTGCATGTCCATGGGCAGACACTGACTCCAATGTCTTCTCTTCCCCATGTAGCAAAAGCTGCACCATCGGGATGGTCCTTCGTCTGTGGAGCGACACCAAGATCCACCTTGATGGGGACGGGTATGGAGACTTCTCTAAAAGATCCTTTCCTGGGGCTGGAGAGATGGCTCCGGGGTGCAGAGCAGCAGCTGCTCTTGCAGAGGACCACTCTGTGCTGGCAGAATAAGAGAAACACGTATTCACAGCATGCAGAAGGCCCTCCCGCTTCAACTCTCGATGTTCTTTAGGGATTTAGCTCAGGGAGTACTGGGTGTCACACCAGGTCTCTTGCAGTGGAGTGTACTTTCTGTGTTGGGTACATCACTCTGGGCCCTCCCAGGGCTGTGTGAGGTGAGCGAGTCACCCCAGGATGGATGTGGCTGGCAGGCACAGCGGAGGTGTCGCTCTGGGGCTGTTGAGGAAGCATTGCTAGCTCAGCCTGGGCAGGTTGGGGGCTGCAGGGCTGTCCGTGGCGCCCGCACTTACTCCTGGGGAAGTGCGGTGCCCGAATAAGAAAGGACTGAGATGAGAAGTCGCTCTTGCAGTGGAATCCTGGGAGAGCAGAGGGAAAGGTAAAGATCTGTCAATGGAAGTGCCGGGGTCTTGGGGGTGTTTCTTAAGTGGGGTGTGGCTCAGTGGTGGGATACTCTTGGTCTCAGCACCACCAAAAAAAAAAAGATAATTTTTTCCACTCACTTATTTTTATGTAAAAGAAAAAGAGTCAGTGTGGTGCTGAGTGACACCGGAGGCTATCCTGCTCACACTCGGCTTGGGAACAAGCCCTGATCAGCTGTTTGCTCTGTTTTTGCCTCCGTCTGATGTGGCATCTCTGCCGTCCCTTGTTAGACAGCAGAAGGCATGCTGACCCCCAGTCTGGGGTGGGACTGCACCCAGGGTCTGGAAGCTTGAATTCTCACGACACCTTTCCTGTTTTCCACTCTCAGAGGCTTCAGTGTGAGCACAGCAGGCAGGATGCACATCTTCAAGCCCGTGTCGGTCCAGGCCATGTGGTGAGTGTGCTCTGAGGGACGTTGAACTCCTTAGAAATACTTTCTACCTGACAGCACAAATTTAAAGACAGTCACTTCTCTTTCGAAGTGTGTGTCATGTGTCTGTGTAATTCTGCATGTGAGTGTGTGTGTGTCTGTCTGTCTGTCTGTGCCTCTGTGTGTGTGTGCTAAGTGTGTGTGTGCTCGAGTGAGTGTGTGTATGTGTCTGTGTATGTCTGTGTATGTGTGTCTCCATGTGTTTAGAAGCAAATCGTGTGCATGTTTTGCACCCCTATCCAGGACAGAACATACTCATCATCCCAGAGGAAGCCTCTCCCTCAGCTCCCCAGCCCCAGAAGACTGTGTGCTTTCTGTTGCTATGAACTGCCCTGTCCTAGGAATCTCTGAGTGAATTTACTAGGTTATTTGTCCTTCTGTGTGTCACTCTTCTCTTCTAACACAATGTTCAGGTTCGCTCATACTTTGGCATGAATCAGTCTCCTCGTTTTACAAATCCCAAGAGCTTCTGTCGCGCTGGTCTACCCTGTCATCCCTGCTTGTCTCTGCCTTTGATTGTCATTGTTGATGCTGCCACTCCAACTGTTCCTGGATGCTTAATTGGTTCGAGGCTCTGTTTTTAGTTCTTTTGGGGTCTGTGCCTACAAGTGAAATCTCTAAATCCTGTGGAGAATTCTTTTTGTTTGAGACAGGGTCCATGGCTGTCTTGGAACTCACTATGCAGACCAGACTGGCCTTGAACTCACAGAACACCACCTGCCTCTGCTTTCCAGTGCTGGGATTAAAGGTGTGAGCCCCCACCTCCAAATCCTATGGTAAATCTATGTTAACCTTCTGGAGAGCCACCACCTATTGCCCTTAGCAGCTACACAGGTCCACACCAGCAAAGCTCTGGCCTCCTCCCCAGATCTCTGTCAGCATTATTCTGTTTTATTATCTCAGTGTGTGCTTTTTTTTCTCAGTTGTGTATGTGGTTATATATTGCTCTGTGTGTGTGTGTGTGCGCGCGCACGCATGCCTGAGGGAGTACAGGAGTCCATGGAGGCCAGAAAAGTGTGTTCCTGGAGTTGGGAGCTGAAGACATGGGTTCAGGAGACTCAGGTTTTTTGCATGAGCAGCACATGAGTTAAGTTTTCCATTTGACTGTTGACACTGAGCATTTTTTTCATATGCGTTTCTTATTTGTGTGTCTTTGTTGGGAAATGTTCTATTTAAGTTATTTACCCATTTATAAAATTAATGTTGAAGATGAACCTTTACCTGTTGACCTGGTAAATGCCACTCTGGCATAAATTCACTTATTCCTTCTACCTGGCACTCAATAGGTGCTATGTTTGTGCAGTGAAGGGACAAACACTCTGCTTCGTTGGAGCAGCAAGTGGCGAGGGGGTCATAGTACAAAGCTGAGTCCCCTCCTGGAGTTTAAAGCATCTTGAAGGGAGGTGACTATGCACACGTGACCTGACTTGTATGCCAAGACAGCTGGTGGGTGTTCTCATGGTGGTCAGGCCTCAGGATGCCTGCTGTAAGGCCTGGATCCCAGCCTTCCCCTCTGTGGTGGCCGTGGGTGAGCATGGCATTGTCCATAGCTTCCGGAGCCAGCCTCCTCTTACAGGTCTGTGTTAGGTGTGTCCAGCCTGGGCTCCTGGGGCCACATACTCACTGTGGGTGTGGCTCAACAGGTTTGTAGTGGACAGTTTCACATTGCAGTGTCTAAAAGCTGAACACTCTTGTTAAACAGTTCCTGTAAACGTGCAACAGAACAGTTGGAATAAACTAGAAAAAACCTGGAGCTCAAGAAGCAGAGGATAAGCGTTTCCAAGTGATCCCTCCTGTCCAGGGCAGGGAGAGTCCCCAGGAGTTCTCTCACCGGCCACTTCTAGTGCTGGTCCGTCCCCTCCTCCTCTGTTATGCCGCTCTAAGTCAGTTCAGGGCCATTTGAGGTGGGTGTGGGAAGCTAAGTCAGTGTCCTGAGGATGAACAAACCAAAAAGTGCCCCCAAATATTTCTTTGGGTAACTGCTGCCTCTTTTCTCTCTAGCCAAGTTCATCACCATCATTGTTTTGGTTTGGTTTTGCCCGCTTTAAAAAAAATTCTTAAACTGAATTTAATAAACATTGGCTCAAGCTTATTCCTGGTCAGTAGGACAGATGGAATTAGGGAAAGTGAAGCTACTTGCAGTGTCTGTACCTCATCATGTAAACCCTCATCTGGTGATGCCCACCCTTCAGGGGCTTCTTCTGCCTCAACTGACACCTCCCTCCCTCAGCCTATTCGCTGAGGAATTTTCAGCCTGAATTTTTTTTTCTTCAGAAGAAGTAAAAGAGACTGTCTAAGTAACACACACAATTTTTACACCCTAAGGCCCTAAGATGTTGCACACTGGGGTGAGGGGGTCCACAGGTGGGCTCAGGAGCCCCTGCTACTCTTTTCAGACCTTTCTCTCCCACCATTAGATGGCTGGAACACGGCCCCACTGTAGGCTGGGTTGCTGTGAGTTCAAAAGCAGATCTGGCATCTTTGGAGTTGTTTGCTGGAATGTGACCCGGCCAGCTTGGGAGAGTTAGGGGCAGTGGGGTGGGGCCTGCTGCTGATGTTTGTTTCCTCCTTTGGGAATGGAGAGGGAGGGGTATCCTGTCCAAGTGTGAGCTTAATTGACTCAGCCTCTGGGAACTGATAGTTGTACCTGGTTGTCATGTGTCCCTCTCACATTGTGGGCAGAAGGGGTCCTCTCTGAGCTGCCCGTTCCACTGCCCAGAAGTGAGTGCCCTTTGTGAGTTGCAGAACCCAAACCCCCGGTTGGTCCTGAGCTTCTCTCCCCCCCCCCCAGGTCTGCCCTGCAAGTGCTTCACAAGGCCTGTGAGGTGGCACGGAGGCACAACTACTTCCCTGGGGGAGTGGCACTCATCTGGGCCACCTACTATGAGAGCTGCATCGGCTCTGAGCAGAGCTGCATTAACGAGTGGAATGCCATGCAGGACCTGGAGTCCACACGGCCTGACTCCCCAGCGCTGTTTGTGGACAAGTATGTGCAGGGGTTGCCGCCCCACGCTGCTCGGTACCGGGTCCTCCCAAGGTCACACTGGGTCCTCCCAAGGTCACACCTGGTCCTCTCCAGGTTGTGTTTCCCTGCAGCCCCTTCACTGACAGCCCCTTCCTGAACAGGTTTTCAAGTAAAACTTTGACCCTGGGTCTGTAGCTGGGAACCAGCGGTTCTCAACCTTCCCTCGGAGGCTTCTTTCTCACAGTTCTGCAATTTCCTGTACGTGTTCTTCCTAGGCCGACTGAGGGGGAAAGAACTGAGCGCCTCATTAAAGCCAAACTCCGGAGCATCATGATGAGTCAGGACCTCGAAAACGTGACCTCTAAGGAAGTAAGAGTCCCTCCAATCCCCACCCATCGCAGGCCCACGCCCAGTACACGTTTGTCCTGACAGGTCCCCAGCAGAAGCAGGCCTTTGGTTTTCACATGCACCCGTTTGTCACCCCGGAGGCTCCCTGGCTTTGCCCTGCGGTGGTACTAGGGCTGTGGAGGGCCCAGGCTTAGAGGTAGGCTTTGGTTTGATTCCGGAGACCATGAGCGATTGTTGGCCCTCTCTGAGCCCTAGGGACAGTTGTAGAAGGTCCTAGGTTTCTCCAGGGAACCTTGGCCTTATGCCGTACAAGAGATTCTCATCTCGGGCTGCTCCCTCTGCCTCGATGGGTTTTTGTTTTGTCCATTGCTTTGGGCGGGCCTGCTGTGAAAACTGAAAAAATGGCTTCTTGGTTAAAAGCATTAGCTGTCATTGCAGACCATCTGCGTTCCATTCCCACACAACAATTTATAACTCCATCACTAGGAGATCTGATGCCCTCTGCTGGCCTTAACAGGCACTGCATGCAGGTGGTGCACAGACATACCTACAGGCAAAACATTAGAATCTAGAGGCTGGGGGGGGGACGGGGGGGGATGGGGGGGGGACGGGAACGACACCGTTGATCCTAGCACTGGAAAAGAAATTCTCTGTGACTTTAGGGCCATCCTGGTCTACATAGTAAGTCCCAGGCCAGCCAGGGCTATGTAGTAAGACCCTGTCCCATAAAATAATATTTTAAATTTTTAAAAATTACTATATTTATATATTTAATTGCAGCTGGGGTGGGATGGAAACACATATAAGGGAGAAAAAACAGCCAGCAGGAGTCAATTTTCTTCTTCCACTGTATAGATTCTGGGGCTTGAACTCAAGTAATTGGATTTTATTGCTGGTTCTCCTGCCTGCTGAGCCATCTTGATGGTCCTGTCCTTTGTTTTTTATTTGAAGAATACAACAAATTACAGGAAGTTTTTTTTTTTATTTTCCATGTGGTTCCTGGGAATTGAACTCAGGACCTCTGAAAGAGTAGCCAGTGCTTTTAAACTCTGAGCCGTCTCTCCAGACCAGGATTATAGGAAGTTTAAAGTGCCCAGTTATTTATTATTTTAGTGTTTTTGAATCAGGGTCGCCCTCTGTAGCTCAGACTGGCTTGGAACTCACCATGCATTTCCCAGGCTCGCCTTGACCTCCATCTTCCTGCCTCAACCATAAATCTTCATCTCTAATTGATTAGTACTTTTTAAAAATCATGCTGTGGTACCGCCTCCAACAGAAAAGCGACTTTACCTTCTCATTTGCAGTGTTTTTGGTACCCAATTGTGAAAGCATAAGTGTTTTAAACTCATTAGAAAAGATCTTAGGGAAAAAAAAATCAGATTTCCTTCTTGAAAACAATGGGTTTCCTCCCTTTCGGTTAAGCTGGAGGTGGACTGAGTGAATGGCCGCCGCCCACACAGATGGGATACCTGTCCAAGCGCATTATCCGGGGCAAAAGAAAGAGGACAAACTCACCCTTTTTGTAAACAGCACTGCACAGAGGTGGGCGGCTCTTGTAGCAGATCACCCCAATAGGCTCCACCCTGGCATCACCCGCTGCTCTGTCCCGCCCACAGATCCGCAGTGAGCTGGAGAAGCAAATGAACTGCAACCTGAAAGAATTCAAGGAGTTCATCGATAACGAGATGTTGCTCATCTTGGGACAGATGGACAAGCCTTCCCTTATCTTCGACCACCTTTACCTTGTAAGAGGCACAGCCCCCTGTGGAATCTGGTTTGGGAACCATGCTCACGACACATGCTTACAAAGTGCCACAGTTGCCGGGCGGTGGTGCATACCTTTAATCCCAGCACTCAGGAGGCAGAGTCAGACAGATCTCTGTGAGTTCGAGGCCAGCATGGTTTACGGAGAGAGTTTCAGGACAAACTCCAAAGCAATACAGAGAAACCCTTTCTCGAAAAACAAACAAACAAAAGAAGCAACAAAACCCCAGAGTTGGTGCCTTACCCATCTATTTGAAACACAAGTCCCTGAGCTCTTCCCCTCTGAGCCCTGCTCCCAGAACCCGCTGAAGGGTCCACCCCATCATGTCTCCCGTGCTGCCTGTGTACCTTCAGCTCAGTGTCTTCATGCCTAAACCTCCATAGAAGGCAGCTGGCCAGATTTTTGGGGGGTTTTTTGTTTGTTTGTTTGTTTTTGTTTGTTTTTTGATTTTTCGAGACAGGGTTTCTCTGTATTGCTTTGGAGGTTGTCCTTGAACTCACCCTGTATACCAGGCTGGCCTCGAACTCATAGAGATCCGCCTCTGCCTCCCGAGTGCTGGGATTAAAGGCGTGCTCCACCAATGCCCGGCAGCTAGCCAGTTCTCAAAGGCAGGCAGGTTGCTAAAATGAGCCAGGAGACCATGAAGTCAGACCTAGCAAGGCCAAGGCCTCTGCCACCTCACCTGCCCTGTGGCCCACGGTGAGTCCTCTTGGCACTGCACGTCACTGGATGATTGTGATGGTTCAATAAGATGTATTCTGGAGGTGACAAGTGCAGCTTCTGAAGGCCTGGTTTTGAATGTGAATGTAACTGTGGTTAGAATTCTGGGTAAATGTCTGTTACAGGAGCTGAAGGAAGATGGCATTGGCCACCAAGGGGGACCACTTCAGTTCCCACAAATTCATAAACTCGCACACACATAGGCATGTGTGGGCTTTTAGTAGGAGCAGAGGCTGTTGAGACAGGTGCTCACTCTAGCTCAGGCTAGCCCAGAATTTGTGATCTGCTGCCTCAGCTTCCTGAGTGTTGAATGTGTGTATTTTTATGTTCTTATTTATGTGTGAGTCTCCCTGCATGCACAGGTGTCGTGCTTCAACCACTGAGATGGGAATGTGTGGGTTTGCATAACTTTGAAAGACTGGCAAGGTGTCCTCACAGGCACCTCCCCCCCTCCCCACTAGGTGGTGATCCTGGCCAGAGGGCTCCCAGCTTTCTTGGAGCTGCCTGAGTTTGGGGAGGCTTGGTGCCTTGTGTCATTCTTTCCATGAGAGATACTAAAGGAATTTTTATGGTGGAGGCTGTCCCTCAGATATGAAAGTCCAACTCACATTGCAGGATGTCAGCATGGCCAAAGCCCAGGGCCTCGGAGGGCCTGAGAAGCTCAGGAGAGGGAGTCGGCGGGAGGCTGAGATAGCGGAATGTGCTTGCTGAGACTGCAGGCTTCTGCATCTTCCACGAGGATTGCCTCTCTTTATTTCTAGTCTTTGTCCCTTGACTGATCTGGAATAGAGGAGTTTTTAATGATGCAGTTTGTAAAAGTATAAAAGTATCCAGTCATACACTCTCTAGGCAGTTGGGGATAGAAACCATGCTAAGGCTTTTAAGGCTCTTGCCAATCTCCCATGCTGAGGTGGTCACTTGTAGCATTTTGATATGTTACTTTTTTCCATTTTTCTTTTTTTGGTTTTTTGAGACAGGGTTTCTCTGTATTGTTTTGGAGGCTGTCCTGGAACTTGCTCTGTAGACCAGGCTGGCCTCGAACTCACAGAGATCCACCTGCCTCTGTCTCCCAAGTGCTGGGATTAAAGGTGGTACGCCACTAATACCCGGCTACTTTTTTCCATTTTTCGTTTTCTTGTAGTGTTATGATTGGAACCCAGGCTCCGAGCACTAGGTTTCCTCGTTACTGTGCCTACTCTGCTCGGTTTTGTAGACTTTGTGTTCCTCTTGGATTATTCCATTTTTCCTTACACCAACATGATGATTTGTTTAATTATTTCTGGGTCTTTCTGTTTTTTGGAACAAGGTTTCTCTGTTTAGTCTCAGCTATCTTGGAACTCACTGTGTAGACCAGGCTGGCCTCAACACACAGGAGTGCTGGAATTAAAGGCGCGTGCCACCACCAGCTGGCTTGTTTTGTTTTGAGACAAGGTCTTATTGTATATCCCTGACTGGCCTTCAGTTTCAAATTGATGGCAATCCACCTGCCTCTGCCTTTTGGAACTAGGATAATTTCTTTTGAAGTGTCCATGCAAGGATTTGTTGTCATTCTTCTTACTGGTTCCATCCTGGTAGACCTTTGAGTTTCTGTTCTTTTTCTTATGAATTCCCCTAAATGCCGGTGTTCCTAAGTCTCTGTGTGAGCTCTGGCCATCCCTTCAGGATCAGAGGGTGGGGACTTTTAAAATTAATGCCAAAATACCTACCAGAAAAAGGAGCAGGTCCCCTCTGTAGCTGATGGTGAGGATGTCTCAGGTCACTGCCTGTGGTGAATAGCCCAGGGGTCATGAAGGGGGCGGTCAGTGAGAGTCTGTTTCCTCTTAGACTCCTGCCTCTCCCTCTCCCTGATCCTTCTTTCTGCTCTGAGACTGAAGTCTCACTCTCAGGGTCCCTGCACATGCCACAAGCAGCTCTGTGACACTCACAGGGCTTTGTGTGATCTGTCCCCAGGGCTCCGAGTGGAATGCATCGAATCTGGAGGAACTGCAGGGCTCAGGGTGAGTCTGCTCCCCTCTTCCCCCATTTCAGCCTGGTCTCTGCAGTGGCTAGAGAATCAGGTGTGCTTCAGAAATGCTACCCAGAATTATCCATGGGTTCTAGGTTTTTTCCTGGAGTCTTAGGTGACTGGGGTGGGGTGGGTGGAATCTGGGAACAGCCTACTGGGGAATGGAGGACAGCCTGGCTCTGGAAAGGCCCTAAGCTCCCGCCCACAGCCTCACTCCCCAACGGAATTGCTGAGAACCCTAATGTGGACACATCTCTGTTGGCCTTTTGGTCAGTCTGTGACCCTGAAAACCAGACCACTCCTGGCAATGCTTGGTGCCTGGTGGGAATTTTGTGACTGGACACTCCTTGCCTGACTCCCCTGAGAAATGCTCAAAAGCAGGAGCGAGTCACAAAATCACCATTCTGTGGTCTGATGTGCCTGCCAGCCTTCTGGAACTCACTGCAGTTGAAAACTGAGACTAAACAGAGCTTAAAATATATCCTTAGAACCTCCAGTCGGTCCCCCGGCAGAGCGGTTGTCCAGTGAGAGGCTAGACTCCATGCTTCCGTCTTACTGGGAATAAATACGTGATTCATTGTCATTTACAGAGAAACCTATTTGAGACATTTTTTCCAATTAACAAAATTGTTTCGTTTTCTAGAAGTGAGTGTACTGGTTAAGAGTGAGGGGCTTGTGGAGTTTGGGTTAGAAAAGCGCACACAAAATAAAAGTGGAGGCTTTTTTTTTATTTTTTAGAGGTTTTAGTGTGACATTGTTTTTTGAATAATACATTCTTGTCATGTGGAGGAAAAACACGAAAATGACTGTTGAGCAAACAACAAAACTTTTACCAGGAACATAGGCCTTTCCGTGTGTATGTAAATTGATTTTTCTCTGCCAGTTTTTTTTTTGTTTCTTTGTTTTTCTTGTTCCTCATTCTGATTCTCTAGGTTCTTTGCTTCTTTCCTCTGCAGAGTTGACTACATTTTAAATGTCACTAGAGAAATAGACAATTTCTTCCCTGGCTTGTTTGCGTATCACAACATCCGAGTCTACGACGAGGAGACCACGGACCTTTTGGCCCACTGGAATGAAGCATATCATTTTATAAACAAAGCAAAGTGAGTGGCTGGCTGGGTATGGAAGCTAGCCCCAGTGTGGAAGTAGGCAGCCCTGCTCTTGGGGTAGGTGGTGGAGGATACAGAAGTCCAATGCCGGAGAGGCTTTGCTGTCTGGTTGACCTTTGGTTGTAGCTGAAGGACCCTAGGCACCAAAGCAGGGAAGTATTGGCCTTCCCTACCGGGTGCCCTCATAGTCTCTCCCACCTGCCCATGATTGTTGGCATTGAGCCCAGTTTTCATCATTAACACTGATTCCAGGCCAGCATCAAATACCAGATGTCACCGGGGAGCTCCCCAGGGTATCCTGGAAAAGATCAGTACATGCAGGGCCTAGAACTCTTGAATTGCTCCCCCAAAGAATACAGGCTGTAGTTCCATGTTCCTGTGTGCCTAGAAAAGGGCAGTCCCAAGATGGTGCCTGGTGCCATCTCCACTGTTCTGAGCCCCAGGCCCCTCCTTATTCTCCTTTGGAGAAATGTTGTGTTGAAGTCCAGAGCAAAGACACCCCACCCCCTAACACACACACACATACACAGTATGTGATATGGAGGAAAACGCTCTCCCATTGGAGTCTCCCAGTCAAAGCTCCAAGTTGTGTCCTTACCCAGCACTGCTGCTGCTTTTGCTTCCCCAGGGCACAGACTCGGGGCTCCTTGCTTGTAAATTCACAAGTCAGGAAAGAACAGTGAGCTAGAGCCTGCTTGTTCCCACCTTAGCTTCCCAAGTGCAGCCTCTGCCAGCCTGGCATGGCTTCACCCTCTCCATCAAGGAGGGGGTCACTGTCCCTTGTGTATCTCCTAAATCAGCTGTGCCCGGGCCAGCACTGCCTTCTTACAAGTAGCCGGATCGATTGGCCCCCACCTCCCCCCTGGCTCAGTTCCCCCTTGGCCAGATTGCAGCCATCCTTGTGCTCCCTCCAGGCGCTCGCTGTCTCCCCAGGGCGCAGCATTTGTGTCTGGCTGACCCCATTTTCTACAGTAGCTCATTCAGGGCCTCCATCTGCCACAGCAGCTGAGTGGCTTTTGCAGCAATCCCTTTAGCTGCCCAGGTGCTGCCCAGGAAGCGACTGTAGGTGGCGCCACTTTTCCCAGCAGGCCCTGCAAAGCCCAGCCCGGCCATGCCTGCAGATTCATCTGTTCTTCCATTGTGTGCTAATTGATTTCACAGCAAAGCAGTTTCCTTTAGAGGGTGTGTGATATCTGTTCCATAAACATCAGGACAGAGAAGCGTTGGGGCCCATGTGATAACTTTAGGGCTTTAAAAAAAAAATCTGGGTTAGTGGTAAATTAGGGAAGGCTCTTAATCCTTGCTCTTAATCCTCCATCCCCAATCCATGCAGAAGGAATCATTCCAAGTGCCTGGTCCACTGCAAAATGGGAGTCAGCCGATCTGCATCCACGGTCATAGCCTATGCGATGAAGGAATTTGGGTGGCCCCTGGAGAAGGCGTATAACTATGTGAAACAGAAACGTAGCATCACGCGGCCCAATGCTGGCTTTATGAGGCAGCTGTCTGAGTACGAAGGCATCCTGGATGCAAGGTGAGTGCGTACCTGGAGACAGGCTGGCAGGCCAAGCTGGCCAGGCCAGCCTTGGCATCCCTGGCAGGAGCTTCCACAACTGGAAGCCAGGCTCTCAGGGGAGCTGGCTTGTAAAAAAATAGCTATTGTTTGGACCGTGATTAGTGGTTTCCAGGAGGGATCTGTTTTGATTTTGTTGGCACTCGTAGAAAACCTGTCTTGCTGGGCGAGGGAAGGTGCCTAACTGCTCATCTAGGACACGTCCTGGTATGTGGTGTGGGCCTGAGCATATCCATTTCCCATGCACCTGCTTTGTGCCAGACTGGAACTAAAGGGGCTACAGGTCTGGTTCACCACAGATGAGCCTGGCAACCTTCCCCAAGCTCAGTCCCATCTTCCAAGTTAAGGATTAGGTATTAGATGCTCCTGGCCCTCAAAAACCTAAAAGTAGAACCACTGTATGATCCAAAAATTCCACTTTATCTCTTACACCCAGAAGACTGGAAATGTGGGGTTGTTTGTATTGGTGGCAGTATTATTCATAGTAGCCCAAAGGCGAAGGCTGCCCACCAGTCCATTGGCAGATGGCTGGATAAACAAACAGGGAGCGTGTACAGGAACCTTCTTCTGCCTGACGAAGGAAGGCAGTTAGAGTCGGATGAAGGAGCCCCTGATTGTAGGCCAGGCTTCTTGGGGAACTAAAGCTAAAGCCCTGTCTACTGCCATACCACCCTGAACATGCCCAATCTCGTCTGAAGACTGCCTGCGCCAGAAGTTCAAAGCTAACCTCTGCTGTATATCAAGATCCCATCTCCATCCCGCCCCATAAAAAGGAAGGAAAGGGAAATTCTGACATGTATGGTACACCCTGAACAAACTTGGGGGCCATTAGGAAAAACTGTGTGACCCCATGCTTGTATGAGGTTCCTAGAGACAAAGAATGTGGTGTTGGTGGCCAAAGGTGGAGAGAGACCGGTTCACGTCCAACGGCTGGCAGTGTGTATTGTGTTCTCTGAACAGTTACAGAGACAGATCGTGTGGTGCAGTGTCATGACCGTGTCCTGCCAAACTGTGTACGTTAAAAGTGGTCAAAACGGCACAGCCGACTGCAGTTTTAAAACTGGCAGGGCTCTGTGAGGTTGCAGGAGCAGTCACTACAGGGCCTTGGCAAGCTGACTGCTAGTAAGCTAATAAATGCAGATGCTGTATCTGTCTCCCACCTGAGAGCAGAGCTCGGCTTCTCATTTTACTAGCGAGCAGAAGGGGCCAGTGCTGAAAGGTTAACTTGTCTCGTGGCACGCAGTCGGCTTCCGGGTGCCAAGAGAGAGATTTACACCCACATGTGTTGACTGCCACAGGAGAAAACAATGTTACAGGGGCCCCTGTCGGGACAGTGAGGGTTCCCCAGCACTCCCAGGCTGCTGGGGCAGAGGCCAGGATCTGGGGACTCACTTTCTCCCTGCTCCATGTCCGGTATGCAGAAGCAGCCGCCTGGATTATTTCTGACTGCATATTGGAAAGAATCCAGAGGCTGGGTCCTTCAGCTTCTTGGGCAGGTTTGGGGAAGCAGGGCTGCTCCGGCAGGGATGAACAGGCTCGGAGAACCGCTGCAGTCATCTCTGGACTGTTTCACTGTCACTCAGACTATCTGTCAGGTTCCTAGGCAACTGGAGTGGGAGGGGAGGTCACCCGATGCCTTCCCATGCTGCAGCCTAGCCAAGGGTCTCCTGCCGGCCCACAGCCGCACAGCATTGAGCCTGGATCGTAGCCGTGACTGGTCTGTTGGGGGAGCACGTGGACAATGGACAGTGACTGCCATGAGCCCCTGGCACCCCCACAGTGTGGGTTTTACTCCAAAATCCTTGAGAGGCAGAGGTGACCATAGTGATTGCCTCTGTCACTATAAAGATTTTTCTCTCTCTCTTTTTTATTCTTGACTTATACCTTCAAAGGTGTTATAAAAACAATGCCAGCCCCGTCCCTAAATTAGCAGCTATTGACAGTTGACGGTTTCTGGGATAGGCCCCTAGGTCACCATGCTCTCGTGGGTGCCCTATACCCATGTGTAATGGCGGCACAAACTGGACTGAGGAGCCTGTTTTAAAAAGAGAATGCAAACGGGGGGGGCAGCGGAAGCTGGGGCGAATGTGGTATAAAATTCTCAAGAATTTGTAAAAACAAAACAACAATACTTTTTTTTTTAATGCCATAAGACTGTGTATGTAGCCCAATGATAGAATGCTTGCCTATCGGGCACAAGGCCATGGGTTCTATTTCCATATTAAAATAATAATAAAAATATCAGAAGAGGCCGGGCGGTGGTGGCGCACGCCTTTAATCCCAGCACTCAGGAGGCAGAGGCAGGTGGATCTCTGTGAGTTTGAGGCCGGGCTGGACCGATAGCCTCCGAAACAATACAGAGAAACCCTGTCTCGTAAAAACCAAAAAAATAATATATATATATATATATATATATATATATATATATATATCAGAAGAATACATTCCAGCCAGGCATGTAATCCCAGCAATTGGAAGGGAGAGGTAGGAGAATCAGAAACTCGAGGTAGCCTTGGCTACATAATAAATTTGGAGCTAGCCTGAGCTACATAGACCTCACTTCTAGAGAGAGAGAGAGAGAGAGGGAGGGAGGGAGGGAGGGAGGGAGGGAGGGAGGGAGGGAGGGAGGGAGGGAGGGAAAAAGAAAGCGGAAATCACTAAAAACAAACCTGTAGTTTCTGCCTGAGACAAATATTTAGGAATTTTCCCGGTCGGTATGGTCATGTTTGCCTCTATACCCTAGTGTGCAGAGAGCTTGACACCCCCACAGCTCTGAGCCCTGAGTTTTCTCACACTGTTACTCTCATGGGTCACAAAAACTGAGTGCCAGCCCTCGGCGACATGACTAGATCCACACAGTAAGCCGTGCACAGATGCAAAGAAAAACGCAGACCTCCAGTCAAAACTCTCTGCCTCTGCCACGCCGTCACCACGTGGTAAACGGTCCCAAAAGGCTTCTCATATAGGCTGTAGAGGCTGAGGGTGCCCTCACCCCTGTGAGCACTAGTGAGTGGAGCTCCGCATACTGAACCCCTCCCGTGCAGGCCCCACCCTTCCTGCTACGACCTCTCACTTACCTGCTCTTTCTCCCCTCAGTAAGCAGCGGCACAACAAACTGTGGCGACAGCAGCCTGCAGGTGACACCGCAGCAGAGCCCAATGAGCTTTTGCCGGAGACCCTGGATGATGCCCTGGACACCCAGCTGCCGTGCTTGGATGATACCACCCCCCAGCCCGGGCTCCCAGGAAGCCAGGCCCCAGCAGGAGGACCCTCTCTCCCCTGTTGTTTCCGAAGACTCTCAGACCCCCTCCTCCCTCACCACGATGACGCAGGCGGCCTGGTCCACTTGGAGGACCTTGAGCGGGATGCCCTGTTGGAAGACGCAGCTCAGCCGGGGGAGGCACACAAGCTGGTCCAGCATCCTCAGGAAGGAGCCAGGCTCTGTGAAAAGGACATAAAGAGGAAGCTAGAGTTCGGGAGCCCCAAAGCCTGTGGTGGCTCCTTGCCACAGGTGGAGGAGATGGAGAAAGGGGTTGGCCAGAGAGCAGGGAGGTGGAGGCGGGCGTCTACCCAGCTCGACAGAAGTTTGCTTGATCAGGAGAACCTGAATAATAACAACAGTAAGAGGAGCTGCCCTGACGACTTTGAGGTAAGTGGGGGACCACTGCGGGAAGCAGAGCTAGCCACTTCTACCCCACCCCACAGAGCATCTTCCTGGCCGGCCCTGCAGGGATGCAATTCTCACTTCTTCCCACGAGGGTTTATTTCAGGAGGAGACTATGACTGCCTGACTATGTCGCATGTGCCTAGCTAGTGGATATGCTGTGCATAAGGGGTCCCTAAGTCTTGAGATTGCCCCTCCCCATCCAAGGTGGGGCTTCCAGCTCGTTTCATCACCCCAGTTCACCCCTGCATTGATGTGTAACGTTCCTGATTCAGCTCACTGCACCTGCCGCAGCCCCCCAACTCCCTCACCTTGGATGACTTTGAAACAGATCCCAGAGGTAGCATTTCCTTCCTAAATGCTTCGTTATGTGACAGAAGAACAGTGCTGTCCCGTCTTCAGCTCAAGTGACCGCTTCACTTCTTGTGTCCCTTGTAGCTGCCATCCCTGGGGATGGTGAACAGGAAGCCTTAGCTCCGACTTCGGGCTGCCCAGAAAGTGGCGGTTCCACGCCCTGCCTTCCTTGTTGCAGCATCCAGCAGTGATCTGGAAGCGGAGCTGTCATTAAGGAGGGATGGCCGAAAAGGCTGCCTGCTCTTAGGCTCTGCCCCGCTACTGCTCACCAAAGGCCTGAGGCCAGGAGCTTCCTGTCCCTTCATCATCCCTGCAGGGAAGACTCTCGGGGACACTGAAGTAGAAAGTTGACTTGGAATTAACATTCTGCTCCAGTGCTAAGAGAAAAAAAAATCAAAACAACAATTGCAAAAACAAGACACCCAACCACCCCAGGCAGTTCATCTGCTGGCCTCTAAGTGATGAAATATGTCCCAGACCAGAAAGGAACTATATGCTTCCCCCACTGCCCACCACTTCCCTTAGAGAGGGCAGATTACATAAAATGCCTTTGTCTGGGACAGTGGTGCTGTGGTTAGCCCCAGTCGCCTGACTTTGAGTCACTGGATGGTGACCAGGAGAGCAGCTTAGGTAGGGGGCTCAGTGGATTCAGCACCGGGACTGGACCTGCAGACAAGCAGTCGTTTGTATGTCTGACTCCTTTTATTAACTGTGGTGTGCCAGGCTGGTGTGGGGGACCCGATCTGTATCTCTTAGGCCTACATGTGTGGAGTAAGGGGAAGGTAAACTTGAGGGCACAACAGTGGGCAGAGCTTGACCCAGAGGGGAGTGGAAGATCATTCATAGCTTGATGGAAGGCAACTTGCTAGGGACAGGCTGAGAAGCAATGCCGTATTGAGAGCCAAGATCCGGACAGAGAATTCGGGGTCTGAGGGACGGGAACTGTGTGTGCGTGTCGTGGTGGGGCAGTGGTGAAAGACAGGCAGGGAGTGGCTGAGGCCTCCCTGGCATGTTGGTGAAGCTATGTGTGTGCAGTGTCCGGGGGACACGGAAGCACAGAGGATGCTAAGCAGAGGGATAGGTCACAAGCCAGGCTTGTGGGAGACAACAGGGCCTGTGAGCCTCTGAGACTGCAGTTGGCTACACAGAGTGGTCTTAACCTTGGAATCATGGAAAGAGGTCATCCAGGCTCAACTCGTAGCAAAATTATGAGCCCTGTCCACAACCATCATCTGGAAGGCCTGTTTTCCTGCCAGCTGTGGGCTCTCACAGTTGGGCAGCTGGGAAAGAACTCTCTCCCTCAGCCATGCTAACCCCTCTCACCAGCTTCATTGTTCCTCATTCCCTCCCTCTCTCCCTCTCTCTCTCTCTGTCTGTCTGTCTCTCTCACTCTCTCTGTCTCTCTCTCTCTCTGTCTCTCTCTCTCCCCTGCCTCCTTCCCTCCCTCTTTCTCTCTCTTTCCCTTTCCTGCCAGGGCAACCATGTCCCAGCTTGAAGGTCAGCCAACAATGAAGGAGAGAGAGAGAGAAAGAATGGGAGACAGTGTAAAGTGTAGTTACATGTGTTTGAGTTTGTGTTGGAGACACACAGATCATGGTGACCATGACAGGTTGATGCTTCCCCAGTTACATTTTGGGCTGACCAGGTTGCAGTTACCCCTGGTGCAAATCCCCTCTGCCAGGGAGAGCCCCCTTTCTGTGCTGCTCTTTCACTCGTGTTATTTGTTTGCTTTTTACATTCTAGCTTTGGTTTTAAATTCTATTCTAAGTCGTGTGTTGGCACGTGGGTTTATACACAGTGGGTGCCAGTGCTCCTGGGCGCCAGAGGTGTTGGCTGCCTGGCAGCTGCAGTTACACTGTGGAGTCTGATGTGGGTGCTGGGGACTGAACCAGATCCTCTGGAAGAGCACTAGCAGGCTCACCCACCCTGCCACGATGTCATTCAGTGCCCCTGTGTTCCAGAACAGACCGTGGCCAGGAAGGGTCAGCCTCGCAGATGGTAGAGACAGAATGAGAAAGGGAGGTCATAGGAGACTCTGTTCTAGCCCTGTAGTTTAAGGTTTACCCAGGACAGGCGGGCTTGGTGGCCCACGCCTTTAATCCCAGCACTCGGGAGGCAGAGGCAGGCGGATCTCTGTAGTTCGAGGCCAGCCTGGTCTACAGAGCGAGTTCCAGGACAGCCTCCAAAACAATACAAAGAAACCCTGTCTCAAAGAGCCAAAAAAAGAAAAAAAGGTTTGCCCAGGACATCATCTTGACTTGTGGAAAGTCAAGATTGACATCCCTTAGGCCACTCTAAACTCTGTTCTTCGTGGTCTTGTGCATTCCAAATGGTCTCTGATCCTGAACAAATGAAGTGAAATCGCTGCTCCCACACACACACACACAGTGCCGGCCAACCCTACCCACCCCCGCCACAACGGCCCTATTTGTGCTTTTGGTCTTTGGCTCCAGATCATGTTTGCTCATGGCACTCTGTCTCTTACAGGGAGATGCTGTGTTTGGGATCCTCAGTAAAGTGAAGCCTTCCTACTCGTCCTGTGCTGACTGCATGTACCCTGCAGCTGGCGGGGCTCCCGAGGCCTTCGCAGAATGGCACGAAGAACCCAGCGCTCCTGCCATCTGCACCCAGCCAGCCTTCCTGCCCCATGTCACATCTTCCCCGATGGCCCACACGAGCAGCAGGTCCCGAGCTCCAGAGAGGCTGGCCTCTGGTCCAGCCAACAACCCCCCATCCCTACTACCAGCAGGCTCAAGGAAGCCAGACTCTGGAGCTGGGGCTTGCCCAGAACCGCCAACAAGCCTTCTAGAGCCTTCCAGAGAAACCTCAAAAGTCCCTCCAAAGTCCCTCCTGTTGAAGAATTCTCACTGTGATAAGAACGCCTCCAGTATGGAAGTGGTGAAGGAAGAATTGTCAGCGAAGAGAGATCCTAAGCCGGCTAAGGACCTGAGGCTTCTGTTCAGTAACGAGGCTGAGAAACCGACCACCAACAGCTACCTGATGCAGCATCAGGAGTCCATCATTCAGCTACAGAAGGCAGGCCTGGTCCGGAAGCATACCAAAGAGCTGGAGAGGTTGAAGAGCCTGCCTTCAGACCCGCCGTCTACCTGCAGGGACAGCGCCACCAGCAGGCTGGAGGCTAGCATCCCTGAAGAGGGCCAGGAGCCCGAACACTCAGCCCTGAGCAACCAAGCAGGCATTGAAGAGAAACCTCCAGAAGGAGCCTTGGTGAAAAGCCCTACTCCTACCCTCCTCCGCATGGATCACACCAGTAGCTTCTCAAAAGACTTCCTGAAGACCGTGTGCTACACCCCCACCTCCTCCTCCATGAGTTCCAACCTGACTCGGAGCTCCAGCAGCGACAGCCTCCACAGTGTCCGAGGGAAGCCAGGGCTGGTGAAGCAGCGGGCACAGGAGATCGAGACGCGACTCCGACTTGCGGGCCTCACTGTGTCCTCTCCACTGAAGCGTTCCCACTCCCTCGCCAAACTGGGAAGTCTCAACTTATCCACCGAGGACCTGTCCAGCGAGGCTGACACGTCCACCATTGCCGACTCGCAGGATGCCAAGTGTGGTCACTCTTCCTTGTTGTACGAACCCCAGGCCACCCCAAGGGACCCCATTGCAGCCTGTAAGGCCTCAGGGAAATCGGTCCCAGAAAACTTGAAAAGCCTGTCAAAGTTGAGTAAAAGCTGACCAGCGTTCTGCCGTGTGGGTGAAGGTTTTTATGGTGTCCTGATCTACCACCACTCACGTCTTGATTCGTGTTAACGTTAGTCATCCAGGCTTTCCCCACACTTGCCAAAGAGAAGGGAGCAGAAACAAGTAAAATCAACCAGGAGACCCAGCAAGGGCCTGGGCGACCTGGAAGCTGTCAGCCAGGAGATGTGCAGCTCCAATGCCCAAGTCCTATCTTTGGGAAGACACAGACACACAGGCTGAAGCTGTGTCTCGGTTGTTAGAGTCTTGCTGGCCATGCACCACACCGTAGGTTTGATCCCTAGCACCACATAAAACCAGACATGGCTGTGCACTCCTGTAATCCCAGCAAGGGAGGTGGAGGCAGGAGGATTAGAATTTCAAAGTCACTCAGTGAGTTTTAGGCCAGCCTGGTGGAGAGAGAATAAGACTGTATATACAAAATACTTTATGTGTGACCTGTAATAGAGGGGGGTGTGGTGATGTCGTCCCTGTGGCCCACGTTCCCAGTTTGCTCCTGTCCTTGAGGGAGAATTCTCAGATGACAACACAAGTCCTACCTCCGTTCTCACTGTGCTTTTGCTTTTAAAATAGTAATGACCACGGCTCTTTCTGAGGAGCAGTGTCGTGTCTGAAAGGGTTTTTTCCAAGGGAATTGTGGGGGGGTTTCGGTTTCTTTAGGGCTTTTTTGGTTTTTTGTTTGTTTGTTGGTTTTTGAGGGTGGGGAACCCCAGAAATATCAAGACTTTTAGCCTGCCCATCCCCAGTGCAGCTAGGTGAAGTCTTCAGAGGGAAGCACTGAATGGCAGTCATCTGTGTAACCCTCCATCCAGGTCGGTACCTGCAGTGGGGTGTGTGGGGTCCTCAGCTTCTAGCATCAAGCTTTCACCCTCCAGTCACGCACGGGGAAGGACTCTGGGGGCATCGCTGAGCCACGTCTGCTGCTAACAAGACATTGCTGTGTTTGGAAAGAGTAGACCCTGGCAGCCACCCTGGGCTTCTGTGCTCCTGTCTCAGGGCCCATTGGAAGGCTTAGGAGTCTCCCGTTCCTCGGCAACCATTTCTCCTCGGCAAGAACAAGACCACATTGAGAAACCTCACCCATGACACCCTAAGGGAAGGGAGTTACTTCCTAGTGGCTGGCAGTCATTGGTGCCAGAATTCATTTCACCAATCTCCATGGGTTGACTGGTCACTTAGCAGGGCTCTCGAGAAGCACATACATGACCTGTGGCAAGAAAGCGTAGGTGGACACTTGGTATCGTCTGACAGCATAGCACAAAAATCTCCTGACTTGGTCACCATCCCCAAGTTCCTGCTGATGATAAAGACCAGATGAAGGTCATTGATGTTCCCCAATCCAAAGCCCCTTGGTTTTGTTACTGTTGGGGTGTGAGAGTCCACGCTGCATGCATACATGTACATAGGTCTGTGTGCATATACCTTGTGTATGCGTTTTGTGTGTGTGTGTGTGTACCTGATCAAACCTGGTGTATGCCATTTCTCTCATCACGCACAGTGTCCTTTAGCTATGCAGTAAGTTGCCCTAGACTCATCTGCAGTGATGCCACCAGGGGCCATCTGGAGAAGGGTGACCACCTCGTCTTTCCCTTTTGCAGTAGACACCACGTTCCCTCCTTCAGCCCGTCTCAGACAGGAGTCCTAACTGCGCAGCCTCTGCTGCCCTGGCCGTTGGCCTTGCTGCATGAGAAGATAGCTGCTTCCTCCTCTACACTGTAATTATTGTTTTACAATTGAGTGCCTTAATGATCGTTTACAAATACTGTGTATTTATGCGCTACAATTCAGCTCTCATCTTCTGTGGCTGGGTACTTGTTCTCGTCCTGGTGGTTGAGATTAGGACTTGAGTTTCTCCCCACCCCCTCCACTTAACGTTTATTCTGCTATGCAGTTGACATTGTGGTTGGTGACTGCTCCACGGGGCCTGCCAGAAGCGGCACTGTTGAGTTCCTGCAGGCCAGGCTGGCATCAGCAAACGCCACAACCCATGGTAGCCAGGGAAGAACGCGATTTGGTTTTGCTGGGAAGTGGTGCAGGTCCTGCACTCCCTGACCCACAGCCCATCACCCCACCCAAACACCTCACAGCTGCTCTCGAGTTTATGGAGGCTTGTTACCACATAGACTCTCCTCACTCTTCCTATTCTTCTGCCCTTTTCCTGAGCTCCTTGCAGCAAATTGTGGGTATAGCTCACCTCAGAGGAGCTGCACCAGACCATGTTCAAAGGCTGCCACTGGGTTCCCATGCATCGCATTACAACTTTGATTTTTTATTGTTTTTTATATTATATATTTAAAGGCAGTATCTTTTGTACTGTGAATTTTCAGTAGAAGCATAGTGCACTTTTTTTTTTACTTCTGTTGGTGTGTACTGTATATAGTCTGTGTGCTTCTTGTGATGAAAATAAACATTTCCTTTATAAATGTCATGTGAGTGCCCTTGTGTACTAGAGGGGTCTACCTCTGGCCCTTGCCAAGACTTCCAATGTACTCTCCCCCTGTCATCATTGTGGGCATTCCTATTTTTTGTTTGTTTGTTTTTTAGATTTATTGTCTCTTAAGTTAGAGGGTCTCCTCAAAAGTTGGAGGAGAGAGAACCAGAGAATGGTGCTGGCACCACCCTATAGCTGCTCTCCTTCCTAATCCTGTCGCCTGTGGCTGGGATTGGGCAAGTAGAACAAGCCGTGTGGTGGTAATGCACACCTTTGATTCCAGGTCTCTGCCCTGGGTTGTGCAAGCCTCTCACTTTGGGGGCCTGTAAAGCTAACTCTTTTCCTGCCAGCCTGGTCCCACAGCCGCCTTGCCCCAAATGAACACTCAGAGACTTATATTAATTATTTAACTGTTGGCTGATGGCTTGAGCTTCTTATTGGCTAGGTCTGTCTTAATTATTAACCCATTTCTATTAGTACATGTATTTCCACATGGTCTTATCTTACTGGATAATGCTAGACCTGCAATTCCTTTGCCTGCTACATGATGACTACTCAGCGTCTCTGCAGAGAAGGGAGCTATTTCCTGTTTGTCCCTGCTTATATCCTGATTCTGCCCAGCTATGTCACTTCCTGTCTTGCCAATCAGCCAATCAGTGTTTTATTCATTAACCAATAAGGGAAACATATATACAGAAGAACATTCCTCATCAAGGGCCCATCAAGAGGCAATACAAAATAAAGGAAAACTGCTTACTGGAAATCAGAAGAGCTGTGGGGAGGGGCCAGAAAGTCCCCAGCATTGCGATCCAGTGTTCTTCTCCTAGACCTCACCTCCCTTAACTGCTTGGCTTTGGGACACATTTAAGGTCCCAAACACATGTCTTAAAATTGCCTATTCCTAGTTGTGCTGTCAAGAAGAGCCAAGGGAACTCCATGGTGGCTGCAACAATGCAGCTGGTGATGGAGACTTTTGGTCCTACCCTCCCAACCCAATGGCTATACTAGGTAAACCATACATTATGCCCAGATGCTGAAGGACTTTCATCTCCATTTGTTGTCACTGAACTCGGACTGATAAGTAAACCAGAGTGTATGTCTGTTAACCTCACTGAGGTGAAGCAGCCAGATTAACAGCTCCAGATGAAGTCACACATAAATCGGAATTAGCTGGGAATAATTTAATGTGAAATTAAAAGGCTAGTTCGGCGTAGTGTTGGACCAGGAGTTGAACATTGTCTTTGGCTACTTAGCAAGTTTGAAGCCAGCCTGGGCTGCATGAGTCCTTGTTTCAAAAAGAAAAAGAAAGTGTAGGGCTTAAACTAGGCATGGAGACTCACATCTGTAACCCCAGTACTTGGGAGGCGGAGGCAGAAGGAGTGGTCTGAGATTCAGGCTAGCCTGGGCTACAACAACATGAAACTCATCTCCAAAAGATAACGCCATGGCCAGGCTTAGTGGTGGAGCACCTGGCTTAGCCCTTAACTCTACCCCAAGACTGGAGAAGAAGGCAGAAAGAAAGGGGAGAGAGGCCAATGGTACAAATCTAAGTGTGGACTTTTTAAGATGTCTTTTTTAGATTTATTTATTAAGTATACAGTGTTCTGCCTACATGTATATCTGCAGGCCAGAGAGGGCACCAGATCTCATTACAGATGGTTGTGAGCCACCATGTGGTTGCTGGGAATTGAACTTAGGACCTCTGGAAGATCAGGAAGTGCTCCCAACCTCTGAGCCATCTCTCTAGCCCCCTTTTTAAGATTTTTAAATTATATTTTATTGTTGAGTGAAGCCTTTTCCTTGCCAGCCACTTTGGTTTTTCCCCACCAGTCACCTGGGCTCTGCCACGTTGTAGTCTCCAAGTAACACACAAGACGTTGTATTAATTATGACGCTGTTGGCCTTGCTTATTTCTTACTGGCTAGCTCTGACTTAAGTATTTAATCCATAATTGTTAATCTAAGTATTTCTCTTACCAGAGAAAAGGGTCCGGACTTCTTACCCCTATGGCAGCTACATGGTGACTCCCTGTGTTTCTCCTCCCCAGAGTCCTCCTCGACTCCTAGTCCCACCTATCTTGCTTCCCTATTGGCCAACAGTGCTTTATTGACATATACACAGGACTTCCCCATCATTTTATGTGTGGGTGTTTTGCTCACATGTATGTCTGTGCACCACACACATGCCTGGTGTCCTAGGAGCTCAAACGAGGTCATTGTGTCTCCTGGAGTTGAATTAGTGTGCCACCATGTGAGTTCTTAACTGCTGAGCCATCCCAGCTCCTTCTCAGGTGGACCTGTGTTCCAAGTGCTTCCCTGGAAGTCAAGCGATAACCAACTTGAGGCCCACACCTTTCTGGGCTCCATTCACAAATCAGTGTAGGGCAGCAATTCTCAACCTGTGGGTGGAGACCCCTTGGAAAGCATGAACAACCCTTTCATGGGGGTTGCTTATCAGATATTTACGATTCATAACTAGCAAAATTACAGTTATGAAGTAGCAATGAGAATAATTCTGGGGGGTTCATCACAACGTGAGGAACTGTATTACAGGGTCACAGCATCAGGAAGGTTGAGAACAACTCACTGGTCTAGGGGCAGGACCCAGCAATGTGTATGTTTCCCATAATGCTCTGGGAATTCTGATAGCCATATTTAGAGAAAAAATGAAATAAGAATGTGATGTAGGGGAGACAACACCCCCACACACACATCCAACATAGTATGGGTGTTCTTCAGACTTATCTGACACCTGTGAGCTCCGGGTCCTGGGAGAGCGAAGTGTCCCTCAGAGTAACCATCCCAGGGTTGGGTACAATCCCAGATCACACCTGCAGTGTGAGTGGTTTTGCTAGGGAGGAGCCTGGTGTTTACTTAGCTGAGGATGCCCTTTCGTGGCAACGGCTTGGAAGAGGCTCCAAAGGCTTGGGATTTCAGAAAGGCTCACACCAGTGTAAAGATGCTGCTTCTGATTGTTCATGCCTGTCTGTGTGCTTGCTGCCCAAGGAGGCCAAAGGGGGCATCAGATGTCATGGAACTGGAGGTAGAGATGGTTGTGAGCTGCCTTGCATGTGCTGGGACTAGACAGAACTCTGTTGGAAAAGCAGCCGGTGCTCTTAGCCACTGAGCCATCTCTAAAGGCCCTGGTGTCTCATTAGCTGTAGCAGGGCCTTCAGCCCTGCAGAAATCAGCCCCCTACTGCTGAGCTACACAAGGTGGCTTCAAGTAGGCATGTAAAGAGCCCAGCTTCAGCCTGAAATTCCTTTTTTGGTAAGCTGTTCCAGTAAAGAAAATCTTTTATTTGTTGGCTCCTGAGCCAGAGGAAGATGGGCCCACATCTGACTCTGGAAGACTGAGTCTCAGAGCTGGGATGTGTCTCAGGAGTAGAGTACTTTGCTAGCATGGGGAAGGCCCAATTTCAATCCTTAGCACCAGGAAGGGAAGGAGGGAGGGAGGGAAGAAAGAAAGGAAGAAAAAAAGACAGTAACTTGTATGTGGTGCTTCATACCTACAATCCTAGCACTGAGGTGGAGGCAAGAGGATCAGAAATTCAAGGTCACCTTGGTTACAAACTGAGTTCAAGGCTAGCCTGAGCTACAGGAGATCATGTTTCCAAAACAAAACCTGTCTTACCTTGTCCTGGAGGCCAAGAAGCCCCTCGCTCCACCACCCACCTTCTTGGAGATGTAGGAAAGTCAAAGACCTGAGAGCTTCTGAGTTGGTGGGGTGATTCATGGTCAAGTGACAGGGTCTGGTGACTAGGAACTTCAGGGCAGGAGTGGTGGTGCGCACCTGGGCCTCCAGTGCCTGGGGGTGGAGACAGGAAGACCAGGAACCGTAACTTGTAGGCTAGCCTGAGCTACATGAGGCCATTGCAAGACTTTTTTTCCAGGCAAGGTTTCTCTGTGTAGCTTTTGTAGACCAGACTGACCTGGAGCTCACAGAGATTTGCCTGCCTCTGCCTCCTGAGTGCTGGAATTGACAGTGTGCACCTCCACTGTCTGGCTCCTCCTCCTCCTTTTTTTTTTCAAGAGTTTTTTTTAAAAGGCATATTCTGGCAGAACATGGTGATGAACACCTTTAATTTCAGTACTCAGGAGACAGAGACAGGTGGATGTCTTTTGAGTTTGAGGCTAGCCAGGGCTATGTAAAGTGTTCCAGGTCAGCTAAGGCTACATAGTTAGACTGTTTCAAAACCAAAATAAAAGAGAGAAAACGGGGGATGGGGGGACTGTCTCCCTAAAGTGCTATATTAGAGCCAGGCTTCCATGCTTCTTGAAAATGGATATCAAAGTAGGGCCAGAGGTAGATATAGGCACACACATATGCACCTGGCACTGGGGAGACTGAGGCAGGAAGATCCCAAATTCAAAGCTAGCATGCTCTGCATACTAAGGCCCTGCCTCAAAAACAAAACAAAAGTAAAACAAAAACCTCATCAAGGAGTTACAAAAAATGACTAGATAATTCAAGCACAGTGGCATGTAGTTGTCATCCAGAGACCGGAAGGGCTGAGGTAGGAGAATCATGAGTCTGGGCTACACAGGGAAATCCTATTTTTAAAAAAAATGTAGGGCTGGAGAGATGGCTCAAAGGTTAAGAGCACTGACTTCTTTCCCCAAGGTCCTGAGTTCAATTCCCAGCAACCACGTGGTGGCTCATAACCATCTGTAATGAGATCTGGTGCCCTCTTCTGACAGGCAGGCAGAACACTGTATACATAATAAATAAATAAGTCTTTTAAAAAAATGTAAGCCATCGGTGGTGGTGCACACCTTTAATACCAGCACTCAGGAGGGAGAGGCAGGTGGTCTCTGTGAATTCAAGGCCAGTTTGGTCTACAGATTGAGTGCCAGGACAGCCAAGGCTGCACACGGAAACACTATCTGAAAAAAAAAACAAAATATACATACATACATACATACATACGTACGTACGTACGTAATGAGTACACAGTAAACCCTATGAACTTTGGTCTTGTATTTTGTGTAAA